TGAAATAAAACAGTACATAATACTAAACTATCTCTAGCTGAGGTTCCTTTATTGTTTACGAGGGTAGGAAGCAAGAAAGAATTAATGAATACTCACACTTCCAGAGAGGAAAATATTGCTATACTTATGTCCCTGAATTGCTTGTGGAAACAATAAACTTTAGGCAACTATAACTATTAGCTATATTATTAAATAGTACTATAGTTAAAATTGTAATTATGTAGTCAGAATACTAGCAGATATTAATATTCTGCAATTTATTTATTATAGGCTGGTTATTCTCTTAATGAGATTCTTCTTTTTATAGTCATTAGGCAGTTAACTTGTAAAAAGGAGTCTCTGTTTTCCAAATTACTTACAGCTATATTTTTTTTCCCCTTTCAGATTGTGTAGCACCAAGTTCTGCTCAAATATTCTCTAATGATTCTAATCTTAAACACGTTGCTGGGCAACTAGGTTTTGCTGCCGGCACTTCAGAAAACTAGCAGGTAGATTAGGATTTAAAAACTGCAAGTCACTCTAGTCTTTCCTAAAGTAATTTTTGTAGTATTTTATGGTGGGAATGTTTGATGTGTCTTTGGATTTTAAAACCTCTTGAAAATCAACGTTATTAAGCAATGCCCTTAACGAGACAATGAATTAAAACCTGAGGCATAAATGATATGTAAGAAATGCTTACGTTAATATTAAGGCAGATATAAGAAATAATATCTGTGATCGTTAGTGAACAGTAGACACAGACTTCTATTTTTCTGTGATGCTGGTGTGATGTCAGTGCACTAGATCAAATAGTGAGGCAGCTACAGTAGGATGTGATATAAATATTTTATGACAATAAATTTCCAAACATGTTGCGTATAATGATGAATGACTCATTTCTTTTAGTGTGCTACTATTTCCATACTGTTGTTGTATTATGCATTAATTTGTTCTACTTAAACATACTGCAAACTATGATTATCATATCTATCTATTTTCCACTCCGTAAGAATGATGCAAGATAAAATCTGCTCTCATTTTTTGCTGAAATGAGGCATGTAGCTCAACTCTATAGTGGAATGCTACTACTATTTCCTTTGTTCTTAAGATAACTTTTCTCTGTACTAGCAGAAAAAAATTAAAAAATTACTTGACAGTAGGAAAATAGGAGGTTTTTCCATTCATTCACTGACTTGAGTCACTGTGGCCAGCATGTGGGCTTTGACAGGCAGCAGACTCTAGCGAACCACCTGAACATTAAATGCACGTGATGTTTTTGCCGTGGAAGACACGTTGTTTATGGACAGATGAAATTAAAAGAGCTGTTGTGCCAAGATGCATGTAAAAATTCCTATCGAACTTAGCTTGTCTAAATGCAGGGCATTCAGTTCTGTTTCCTGGCATGTGCTCAGGCTTTTGTCTTGTTAAATCTTCAGTCATGCTTGTTCTATGAACAAGGTGTTCATTACTGCAAATCTAAGTGTTGTAACTTAGTTTCCCTTACTAAAAATAGATTCTGTAGCTTAGACACATTGCCAAATTCTGTGGAATCTTTGAGGAGGAAAAACTCTTTAAAGGGATGACAGAGCCAAAAGGGATCTGGTCTAGTAAGTACTTAAGGTATCCTGACGGGTCTTCTCGTTGTTACCTCTTCACAAGTAACCTGAAACACTTTTAAGTGTTTTCTACAAACAAAAGTATTTAAAAAATATGGACGGTGATAGCATTATTATTTGGCAAGGAATTAAAAATTCTAGCTGTGGCAGCTATTTTAAATGCTATGAACATATTTAATACCTGAATCGTTTGGATTTTGTTCACTTTTTTTTTTTTTTAATTAAGGTAATGTTTCGGTTATGCCTTTTGCTCTTCAACCTCTTAGAGTGGTGGCTTTGGTATTCTGTTCTGCTAATCATGGAGTCTATGATCTCAGTTGCCAAAGACCACAGGTCCGCAGTCGTCCATTTGTGTATATCCATTAAGAGTAGTTGAAACTGTTCTTCTGTACTTGAGAAACTGAAATACTATACCAGTGGTAAAGCAATTGCAACTCACGGCTTTAAAGCTTTCAGTAAAGTGTTACAAAGTATTTAGTTGTTTAGATTTTTTTTAATGTAACAGATTGTGCATAATAGTATCTTTTGAAGCGGTCAGCAATGGAAGAGAGACCAGGCAGTAGCTGCGTGTTATAATTTGTGTGACTCTGTGAAAAATGAGGTGGCACTTTTGTAAGTAAAGAAAGAAGAATCTGTTTAAATTATTCTTTATTGAAAAAATGAAGATTTTCTAATTTAATTCTACACATGCTTTGTTTAATCCTGTTTTATGTTTCAACAGATGGACGCAAGCCATTTCCAGTAAACCATGGGGAAACTAGTGACGATTCTTTTTTAGAGGTAGGAACAGAAAATAATCTTAAATGGTGTTAAACAAAATTCAGACTTGTATTTATGGTTCTGTTGGGGTAGAGTGAGTGGGATGGTGAGAGAATTATGTTTACTCAATTTTAACGTGGATATTTCAGAATGCTCGTTTTGTGACTCTGGATGAGAGAGTATCATAACATGAAAGCAAGAAATGTCTGAAAGGTTGATCATAACAGATGATCAGACAGATCTTTTTTTTTCCTTTTGGGCTGAGATTTTCTTATGCTACTGCTGCCTTTAAGTCACACATGAGATGAAGCAATCAATTTGAAAACTTAATAACTTTTCATTTTCTTTCCTTTGCTTTAGTTATAGTTTGATAGGTGCCATGCTGGACATAAGTTGAATCCTCTTTCCAGCCCTTTTTGTCTCTGGTTATTGGCAAGGAAGAAAGAACAATTCTCCTTTAGCTTCATGATTTCTTTTGGTTGCTTCTTTATGTCATCTGGTTAGTTGAGAAATGAATTCAAAAGGAATACACTTAATTGGGAGAGTAAGCTTTCATCCCAGTAGAATGATGCCATGTTGAAGCAGGCAGAGGGCAATGCATAGACCATTAGAGTATGCAATCTGGATGAGCTTTATGAAAGGAAGAAACCAGACAAAAACAAACAAAACCTCTTACAGTTTATTAGTGTTGACTTAATCTCTATAAAGTGTGCGTGCAATTTGTGCTTGTTTGGGGGTGGGAGGCAGAAGTTGGGTAAAGTTTTTATTCTTTCACATGTTGCACTTTTCCCCCTATTTTACTGATAGCATGTGCTCTCCATATTGCACCCTGAAGCTAGGCGAAGGAATTAGAAGTAAGTTTTCATTTACCCCACGCAGCTTAGATTCATCTTGAGACAAAGGAAAAGTTTCTGAATACAGCAGTACTAATAAAGGCAAACCTCAGAGTTGCTTTAGGAAGGTCAGACAAACAACGTGTCTGTTGCACAAAGTAGTATTCAGTTAAAAAAAAAAAAAATTGTTGTTAAGCTTCTGTATGCAGCTTATGCTTTCTTTTACTGCCTTTGAGTGCTGTAAAGAATCTTGAACAGGAGCAACTTGGATGAGAAATACAGTTCAAAAAAAATTGTCTGATTAGTAATCCTCTATGGAAAATTCCATTTTGGTTATATTTCAGTTGCTTTATTGAGTAAAGTTTTTTGTTTTATTTTTTCTTTCAGGATGCAATAGAAGTTTGCAAGAAATTCATGGAACGTGACCCAGAAGAATTAAGATTTAATGCAATCGCACTGTCTGCAGCTTAAGCTTTTTCCAGTTGGGCTAATCTATCATGACATGCTGTAATAGTAAAACTCTTGCTATATGTTAATAATAGAAATTTTGATACTTCTCTAACATGTTGATTAACTGTAGCACACGTGGAATAAACTTTGGATTTGTCCTTGCTATTTCTTGCTGCTTGTTCCTAAAGCAACTTGGATATTTATATACACGCATGCATTTCATGTAAGACTTCTGTGATGGGTTTTTTCCTCCGTTTTTCCCCCATTCCCATTATAATATATGGGAGTTAGTGTCTGTGATACTCCATCCTTTATCAACATAATGACCTAATTCAGAGCAGGATTATCCTTCATATCTAACATTTGGATTGGTGTATGTGGTATGTTAATGGGTAGAAACTTTGAAGTCTGAGGCTATCTGCATCTTACTTCTAGTTAAAATGATATGGGAATATTATAAGAACTTTTGCAAGTGACTCAGAAGGCAAAGTCAGTTTTTTCACTGCATTATTTGTTAATAAATAAATGGAAGAAGAAAAAGCCTGAACAGAGGACTGACTGTTTCTAATTACTGTTGGTGAGCACTAACATTTTAAAACTATCTTATCTTTACATTTTGAATAAAAATTAATTTCGCTTTTCAAGCCTTATGTAAATAAATTGCCAGAAGCTTTAGTTCAACCAGTGTTTGCTGTTTGTGAAAAATGACATAAATTTTTACCGGAAGAAAAAGGCATTGTAGTAATAAATACTAGTTCAAATGCTAGAGCTGGGAAGGGAACACACAGGTGAATAGAGCAGTGTGAAGTATCTCACATAATAAATGATAGGAAAGTAATGAATTCTTTTAATGAAGTCTGTGTAATAGGGCCAAAACCACTCTATAGATCTGAAGATGGTCGTGATGGTCATATACTTTTTTTTCCTTTAGGAATATCTATTGTGAATCTGTCAGGTGGTATTACTGAATGCTGTGTGATACCCTTCCTCTATGCCCTCCCCTGCAGCCCTCACACTGATTCGTTAGCTACTGTTGACCAATTTTTACACTTGCTTCAGAGATGATTTTATGGGAGGGCTAAACAACTTTATGCTGTAGGATTCTCATGAAGATTAATTTTGTTTAATGTGCATTTTTCTGAGATTCCGAAATAGCATTCCTTGGTGTTGGTTGGTTGTTTTTTTGTTTGATTGGGTGGGGGTGTTTTGTGTGTGGTGGTGGTGGTGGTGGTGTTTTGGTTTTTGCTTTGATGGGAGATGTTTCAGGTTGGCTTCCAATCAAGACTGCTGGCAAAAGAAACTGATCCCTCAGTGTCCCATAGTGTGCTTTCACTCTCTATCAATTGTCATTACAGGTAAAATGAATGGGATTATGCCAGAAGCAATCTGGCAGAATTTTCCTTCATAGGAAAGAAACAGGCCTGGGAGTCTGTCTTATCACTTAAGAACGTCTTTTGCACTCTAAAGAAAAAGTCGGAGGAGAGTGTCTGTCTGAAAATGTCACCTGGAGAGTCCTCTGACAACAGAGTCTGTTTTCTGTAAATGAGCTGGTTGGAAAAGTGAGGGGGGAGAACACTAATGAGCTTCCATTTCCAGCATTTATTTTTCTCCCCATAAAATGCAGTAGTGTTCAGAAAAGTTGCTCTACAGAACACTTGCTTTACATTGCCATGCTCATTAGTAAAGCCTTGAAACTTCCTTTTAAGTGAAATTCAAAGAATTTATTAAACAGAGCAACTGCATTTGTTTTCCTGCTGTCTTTTGTGTTAAAGATGGCTCAGAGGACTGTAGTTGGGAAACTGAGCTATAGCTAATAAAGATAAGGTGCTCTGAGGGTGAGGGAAGAGGAAGTGCAATCAAAACTGTTTAGCTATATCAGTTGTCTAATGTATGGAAATATTCATACCCATGTATGCCTATCAATGTTCAGAAGATGTCTGTATTTTAAAGCACTAAATGTGGGGACTGTGTTTTTGTGTAAATGTTTATTGCACACCCAAAAGAACTGGAACTTCTATCAATTATTGTAACAGACTTAGTGAAACCTCAGCAAAGGTGATTGAGGTTAGAGTAGTAAAACTGGGATAGGTTTTTTCTTGGTCACGTTTGAAGAATGTGACCTTAAGCAAAAGATTATAAATAAGAAGTCTTTGTGTTTGGAAAGATGACAGTTGTGCACACACTTTCTAAATAGTCTCCAAATCAGTTCTCTAGGGTAAATAGTCTTAAAATCAGTTCTCTAGGGTAAGGTTTCCTTCTATTTTTACTTTCAGTGTTAACTTCTGGATTATTAATATAAGATGGTACTTGTTAGTGAACATTGCTTTTGGACAGTCAGGTTCTCAGAAGACTGAGATCACAGTTAAGGAAGAACCATGTGTCAGGCTTTATACTGAGTGGTATCTGCTTACTGCGCAGTTCCTTGCTAGGCTGAAATCTCTGACAGACTGCTGCAGAAATACTATTTTAGCTAACATGTGCACTGTGGTGGCCTTCCAGTGCTTGTAATACCGTGGTTTGGCACAGGCACTGGCGAGTGTCTTGAGAAGCACAGACAATGAAGGGATCTGCAAGGTGCCGGAATATCTTTGGCATTGAAAAACCAATGTTAACTCGGACACCAGGAGCGTGGCACGCGTGCTTAGCTGACTTGTGTAGTCTAGCAAGGTTTGAACTGGGGTGAAGGAGCTTGGCTGAGCCCTCAGTGCTGCGATGCCCATGCAGGCATTGCATTATCTGTCAAGTTTGTGCTATTAACTCAAGCTCTGTGGAAAAATCATGTGGCATTTCTGAACTTGTGCGTCCCTGGCAGAGCCTAGCCCCCTTTGTGTGTAGCCTGCTTTGGCTCCAGGTATTTAGCGCTAGGACTGCCAGGAAATCCCTCTTCGGCTCCTGCAGTTCAGGTCGGCCATATGCATGATGGACGCAGGGAAGAAATGATGCATATTCAGCGCTTGCATAATTTTAGCTGAATGGAGCTGGTGTACTATGAACTGCTTGCGATTGTTCAAAGTCTTCTACGTATACCTGCATAAATCTTCCTGTGGTATTAAAAGCATTTTGTTGGGAAACATTAAAGATTGAAGAGCCAGAGTAATGCATTTTCCTTTCAATCATGGCTGCATGTCCACAACAAGGTGAGGAGAAAAGTGGTTTCTATCACTGAAATGTCGTATTTGGAAAATAAATACACTTAGAGCCCACACTAAAGAAAAGACACTATTTATTTTCTAAGAAGGGAAAAAAACCTGCCTTGATGGAAAATATTATTGCATCTAATATTGTTGGAACTTTTTATGAAAAGAATAAGTCAAGCCACAGTCTGTCTATCCCTGGGAGCACACACACACAGTGAATTAGTTTGCGGAGTGAATTAGTTTGCCTACTCTTCTTACCAATAATTAGCAGTCATGCCAGGATTATGCAGTCTCTTTCTGATCTAAGAGTCTGGTGACTTATCTTGTTAGTGCAAAAGAATATTGAACAATTTCTGCTGTTTTGGCCTACATAGGAAAATTGTTGATTTAAAATTCACTTTGAGGAAGAAATGTGTATGTTGGAACTTGAAGTCACTCACTGAGTAAAAGCATCTACTTGAAAGCTGCTGTGGTCCATGAAACTTACTGAAAGGAGTATTTGCTGAAAATTACTGAGATATGTTATCTAAAAAATTACTTTCCTTATGATTAAAGTATTTAATCTGATTCATCTTGAAGTGATATAAAACAACCAAAAAAAAGTGCAAAAACTTGGAAGCTATTTTCTTAAGCATGAACTCTATTTTTTTTAAACCTGTTTCATAGAAATTTATTTTCAAATTTCCACCTTTTTCTCCTACTTAAGGCTGAATATCATATTTTTAATATTTGTGAGAAGGCAGACTTTAATGGCAAATGCTATAGTAGTTCTCCAAATAAAACTTTTAGTAATGACAACTGATGCAAATTGATGTCAGCCAGCAGCAGCACATGCACTCTTTTTTTCACCTTTGTAGCCATGAATGCAAAATAATTGAGATGAGAAGGTTGCTTGGTTCACACATTTCACTAAAAAGGAATGCACGTTCTTCATTTGTATTTGGTCTTACAGTTGCTCCACCTTGGGATAGGAAAGAGGAGTGAGGAAAAACTGTTTCAAAAGTATAACTTTCATTGTCGTTTCATTCATTGCTGCCCCTGTAGCACTGAGATCTCAAATCATACCACCGTGAGGAGCTAACTGTGTGCTTTCTCTGCATTTCTAACTTTAATAAATGTCAAACATCCTGTGGAGTTTATTTCAATTTGAATCACTGGTTTTTCATTTGTCTGCCACTCGTAAAACAAGGTCTATATGTGCTACAGAAACTGATAGCTAATAGCTTATTGATAGGAGATCAACTCCACCCAAGACGTTCATTCCCCTTTTAAGAAGGTTGTATTCAGATCAGAAATAAGATGTGCATCCAAGTAAACAGGTCAAGAGAAGCTAATGGGTGTGCAATGTTAACTGAATTTTCTTAAATTAGGTAGAATTAGCCCATGCTCTGCCACAGCCCATAACAGCAGACGATACAGGCAGCAACTGCATTTTGCTTATATGAAAAAGTTTTGGGAAAAGAAAACTAATGAGAAATTCAAGTAGGGGTGGAAAAAACCGCCTTGATGTTAAGGTTACAATGCAATCAAGGAGTTGCCCTTTATTTTGAGGTGGGCAAGCACGCCAGGGAGGGGCCCCTCTCTTGCTGAGCTTTCCTGCTCTGCCCTGGGAGCAAGGGTTTTGCTCGGCGGGCCTCAGCTGCCCGCTGCCTCCTTCGCTGCGGCACAGCCCGCTTCCCACCGAGCGGGACCACAGAAGACGTGCGGGGCTGAGGCGCGACACGGGCACCCTTGCAACCCCTCCGAGTTAAAAACACAGGCGTGGTTCCCCCCATGGAGGGGGGGGGGCGTGAATGAACAAAAT